GGGCCCGGGCTGGCCCACGCGGCCGCCCCCGCCGACTCAGCCGGGACCGCCGCGGCCCGGACTGCGGACTGCGGCCGGCAGCGGCGCCGGCTCAGCGGAGGCTTGACGGGCTCCCGGAGTCCGGCGGCGTCCGTGGGACTCCGGGACCCGGCAAGGCACTGCAGGGGTCACGGGCCCGGGGGGTGCCGGCCGACCCGGCGTGGCCGGCCGCCGCCACCGTGCCAGGGCAGTCCAACGGTGAACTAAGTTCGCACAGGACGGTCAGTCCATATAAACTTCGCACAGTAACAGATTGCTAAGCCACACTGACGGTAAGTAACTTACAATATTCAATATGATGCATGTCAACGTGTGAAAAAAAAATAATCAGGCTTGGGAGCGGAAGGTCACTGTGAACTGATGATTCGGACTGAATTCGGAAAAGAATACGATGAAAGAAGAACGCCAGGCTGCTGCTTTTAACACCAATCACTCTCATGAACTTTCGCTTGAGTCGGATCATGATCCACATGCTGGTACCCGGCCAACTGTCAATGGAAGCAAAACACAACGTTCGCGGTTCTTACCCCCTTCTCAATCTCATCTGTTGCCTTGTCTTGACGCTGGTTCTCATCGTTGAGCTCTTCAACATCTGAGATTCTTGGAGCTTCAAAGTTCAGCGAAGGGTTTCGAGCACCTGCTTGAGATCTGTGAAACTCTGTGTATTTTGAAGATCCAGGTGAGTTTGCGGCAGATACAGCAGCCATCCTGTGAATCTTCAATTCCAAGACGTCGTGCTTCAAACTCCCTGATCCATCCACTGCATCTATTCAGATTTCTCTGCACTTCACATCGTCACCTCTAAAAGCTTGTCATCACCTTTGTCTCGCAGAACATGTACAGCCACAGGGTTTGCTGCTGACGAGTTGAGGGCGAAGAGGCGAACGGCATCGTTAGGGCTGAGCCTTGTTCAGCATGCCCCGAAGCAGAGGGAGCGAGAAAGATATCACCTTGTGCATGCAATTCCATCAATCTGCAGAAGCTTATCCTGCACCTGCATCCCCGCCCTGTCGGCAGGACCTGGGACCATCATGGTTTGGATCTGAAGTCCTTGAGAAGACAAGAACCTCCAGCTTCCACAGACGTAACGTTGAGGGGGCGATCCGGCGATATAGTGGAGATGGTGATCCCCACCGAGCCGAGTGTCATCGTGGGTGGTTTGTATGGCTCGTCGGCCTGTGCATAAGAACGTCAGGGAGCCATAAGACTCAGGAGTAGGTGACTAGGTGAGAGAGTGAGTTATCAACATGAGATCCTGTGATGATCCCAACAACATTCTACTCTCCTGATCTCGAGCCCTGCAGTGGTACGTGGGAATACGTCGCTAATCTATCGCACTTCATCTCACGCTTTCTCAACTCGTTGGACCGAGCTTTAGCTGATTTGACAGACCTGATGGCTATCAAACGGACGGATGTGAACGAGAGACGGTCTCTCCAGTCCCTCCTTCTCCTCCAGGCTGCAGCAAACCATCGTCGCCGCCGCATCGCTCAACCATCCCAGCATGGCGCAAGGACCCACCCCGTTCCAATTTAGACCTCGCTGACTTTGGTACCCCCTAAATTCCCATACGACAGACCCCTCTAAATTGAAGTTTTTCCCTACCCCCACCTCTCGATAAGTCTCAGCGAGCCGTTTCAACCTCGACCCCCACCCTCTACCCACCCTTCGCTGTCTATGAAAATGTAGGGGTAGTGCAGCATCTTTTGACTTTTTTTTTTTGAGTTTGTCAAGGGTGGGGTGCTGATGGAACTTGATAGAAAGGGGTGGTGGGGTTGAATTGAGGGGGTCCGACGGTAACCAGATCCTCATTGGTGGGGTCATTTGGGGTAGTCATACAGTACAAACATCCATATACGGTGGGTGGGGGTGAAAACGCACTGTGCAGCAGGATGATAGTGTACCATATCATTGGGGTCATGGGGGTAGGGTCCTTATGAGAGCTCGTGGGGTGGTTATCGTGGTGGGCACCTTCAATAACAAATGCGGGCGGTGGAGCAATGGAGGAGCGCCAACGTGCGGCATGCGATAGGAGGGGTCGGACCAGCAGGCAGTGCGGGAGGAGGAGGAGGAGGAGGTGGTGGTGGTGGTGGAGGCGGGCCCTACAGGAAGTCCGCTCCTAATCATACTGTCCCTTCCTCACGCAGCCCGCGTCTTTCTCCTTCCTCTGGCGAATCTCAGGATCGCGGAACGGGAGCGCTGCTGCAAGCGAGCACAAGGCAGGACGGAGCTCCTGCTGCAGGAAAGTGGGACGCACCCCCCATGCTGTTGATAGCTACAGACCTGAATGCTGTGGGGAGGAGGAGATACTCCAGCTGTGAGATCTGGCGCATTGTAGACGTTGGGATCGCCTACGATCCCACGCCCAACAGCGCGAAGAGTTTGCTGCTGAACAAGACCTGGAGAGCTGTTGAGCTCAAGCACACCGACTACACCAATATGTACCTTGACACCTTCCTATCCCTGGTTGCACCTGACTTTGGTTTCAAGTTTCCTGAATGACAGCCATGGATGTTTTGCTATTGTCAAGGCCAGCAACGTGGAGGCAGGAAAGATTCGGCACGCCATGCATATGGCCTGGGGCTTGCAGGTTGACCTCTGCTGGCTGCTCTGCTGATCGCCATCGACAGTCCCTCCTGAAGCCTTACACAGGTTCAGGCGTTCGAGTCCTCGCAGGGAGGCAGCTTCCTTCTCGTCAGGCAGGACGTAGCCAACTCGGAGTGGCGGAACAGGTGAAGGATGGATGGTAGGATGAGTCCGACTTCATGTCCTGAGGGTGCGCAGGTGGTTTCGGATGGACAAGGGAAGCATGGAGTCCTTCTCCAACCCTTTGAGCATCGGGCAAGTTCCACCACGGCCCTCGCTCAAGGTTTCAGAGATCAAGAGCTTGAGTCGCCTCGACAACAGCGAGTTTGCTTCCTTCTACGTACAGACTTCCTCCGCGGGATACGTGTTTGAAGCCAACAGTGAAGAGGTATGGGACTCGATGGGCCATGTGATGTGATGTGATGTGATGTAATGTGAGGTGAGGTGAGGTGAGGTGCGGTGCGGTGAGGTGAGGTGCGGTGTGACGACATGCGACGAGGTTGCTTATTGAAAGAGATGAGCCAAAATGTTTGGATGCTTGCAGGCTGTTTGTTAACAGATCGCTACCTCAGATTGTCTCTGCTTGGATTCGTCTTCTGAATGTTCAGCTGATACTCAACGGACCTCCAAAACCTGACAAGTCGACAAATTCCATCCAGCCGCAACCAGACGTTAGGACACCTGTGGACAAGTGAGGCTTGACAAGCAGTTTGATGAGAACCATTTTGACATGTTGGCGGTAGGTCATCGCTAGATGATTACATTCAGACCTGGCTCAGGAGCAAGGTGAAGGCAGAGAGAGGGAGGGTTGGAAAGAGGGGAAGAGGGAGGGAGAGAGACAGATGCGGAAAGGGGAGGAGGGAGGGAGGGAGGGAGGGAGGGAGGGAGGGAGGCGTGAGA